TAATAGGTTTCACTGGGTCTATGAACATGAGAATATGTTATACCTAAAACTATTATGAGAAAGATAGATTATATATGACTGATATAATCTAAGTTATGAGTAGACATGAGGATAAATGTGTAATTATATGGTGATTACGAGAATAATCATGTGTGTTTAAATGTGACAGAAAAAGTCATATACTGAGAAATGGCAGATAATCCTAATCAATCAGAAAGGACCTCTACTGGTTATGGAAGAGGTCGGGGAAGAAGAAGTGTAATACAAGGAGAGGACCCAGAAAATGTGATGACAATAGAAACACGAAGTCGTAGCAGGGGTCGAAGAAGAGGTAGAGGTACTAGACAAGAACATGAACACTTGGCTCAAGAAAGTTCAATGTTTGGTTATGGAAGAGGAAGGGCAAGGGGTGGACATAATGTTCCTAATCCCGAGTTTATTACTCAAGATATGTTGGCAGCAGAGCTGGGAAAATTTCAGGAAAGTTTGGTAAATTTGTTGGGGTGTACCACCCAAAATAATCCAGATATGGTAAGAAATTCCGATCAGGAGGAAGCCGGAGCTAGTACACCGATAACTGGTACATCTGTACCCCTTACTTCGTCCTCAGTACAAAAGGGAGGAGATATTAAAATGTTTCTTGCTTGTAAACCTCCCAAGTTTTCTGGTGAGCGTGATCCTGTTAAAGCTATGTATTGGCTTAAGGAGATAAAGTTGAGTTTACAAATCAGTAAAAGTGCAGAACAGGATAAAGTTATGTTTGTTGTATCTCGTTTGAGATCAAGTGTTTTATACTGGTGGGAAGTTCTGTCAAGTTCAGATCCGAATATTCTGAAAACTATGTTGTGGAAAAATTTGTGGTTAAGTTTAAAATGCAGTATTGTCCTGAAGCTGCAGTAAGAAAGTTGGAAGACGATTTCCTTCGTCTTGAACAAGGAAACATGTCAGTCCGCCAGTATACAGAAGTTTTCATGGAACAATCTAGGTTTGCTGAAGCCTATATTATATCTGAAAACAGTAAAGTGCGAAAGTATATATGGGGATTGGAATCGAATCTTCGAAAGTATGTGATATCCAGGAATCTAACAACATTTCAGGCGGCAGTTGATGCTGCTGAAATACTGGAACAAGATATTAACCGACAACCACAAGAAAGGGTTGGAGAGAAAAGAAAAAGGGAAACTACAGTAACTAATTTTCGCAGACCGAGGTTTATGGAAAATTTGAATCGACCAATTTCAAGGGTTGCGGATAAAGCGTGTGTTCGATGTCATAAAATACATCAGGAAAATTGCAATACAGAATCTCGAGTATGTTTTAAATGTCAGGAACCAGGGCATATAGCTTGATATTGTCGGATGACACGGAGGTGTTTTACTTGTAATTCATTTCAACATGTGAATGTCGATTGTCCGCAAGCTAAAGGTCGAGGGTCTGGTTTTGTTGGAAACTGGGGATTTGGATATTCTGCAGGCCGAGGATCTGGTTATGTGCCAACAGGTCGTGGACAAATAGATAATCGTGTTAATACAAGTGGTAGAGGAGAAATAAGACGTGGGGAGT